CCTAGTGAGGCAATAGCCCACAAAGTATGGTCAATAATTCAATAATTAACCCCTTTAAGGTGTGCAATGTAGAAATGGACTCACAAATATAGAACAAAATAGACTCTGCTGCTGATCCAGCTGCCATCACCCTGCCATTCTGTCCAAAGGTGAAGAGGACCAACCTCAAGCTGCTGCTCTGCAGCTTGCTCTGGCTCCAATCACGAGAGAGAGGGAGAGAGAGAGAGAGAGAGAGAGAGAGAGAGAGAGAGAGAGAGACTGTCTTCAATTTTTTCTGCTCATGTATTCAGAGAAAATCATACCCTTAGACTTAGAGCTATTCACTTCAAACGCCATTGCCTAAAAGGATGGAGTTTGCACAACATCTATGCTTTTCTTTCAACACGAACATTGTTTTGCTTTCACATTTGCTCATATAGTTAGTGTGATGTTTGAATTTTATTTTATTAATTGTGAACATGTCAGTGCATGAATGAGTGCATGTATTTGTGTGTATAAACATGACATATATGTAGAGTTATGGGAAACCTTTTTCAGGTGGGTTTTTCTTCCATGTGGATCTGGGGATTGACCTCAGTTATTCTCCTTTGTAGGGATTGACCTCAGTTATTCTCATTTGTACTGTAAGCACTTTTACTGACCAAGCCACTCTAACTCATCCATGAACATTTATTCAAATTACAACACTTTATTTCTGGAACTGTAGCATCATTATTTGCATTTTTATTAATATTTCTTTAATAGTTGTGAAGTGGTAAGTCACTGTGATCTTAATATGTATTTCCTGATTACTGTTGAGCACACACACACACACACACACATATTCATACATACATACATACATACATACATACATTTAAGCCTCTGAGCATTTGTCTGTTTTCCTTTGGGATTACTGTGAATGTCCATCATGGGCAAATTGAATAACTGCTATAAATATTTAAATTTCTATAAATATGCAACCTGAGTTATAGAGAAACAGAAAACTCTGAACAAGGAACTGTGAGTGGTTATTAAAACAATAATAGAAATTTGGCCAATTCATGAAATTCCAGGACTGGATGGCATCATTGATACACTCCAGCAAACATTTGAAGAAAAGAAATATACAAGTCTTTCTAAAACTTGTTAGTAAATATATGAAATACAGTATGAATTACAAACCAACATGTCAAGCATACCTAAATCCTAGTAACAAATTATTCCCTCAATTTCATTTTCAAGAGCATGTTTTTTAAAGTTTAGTGGAGACTGCTCTTTGAAAAGTTTAAAACATGGATGAAAAAGATTGAGAAAAGCACACATAAATAGAAAGAAAATCTTTATTCATGAACAAACCTCAGTGGCAGAAGCAAATAACTTGGTCTATAATGAAGAAAGCACTTGAATAGAGACTTCAAACCAAAGATATCACATCTAATTTGGGATTTGCATTTTCATGTTTCTCTGTTATTTTATGTTATTATAGTTTTTGTTGTTGTTCTTTGTGATCAGTCCTTTAAAGAATTCAAGTATTTCACCAATCTTTCCAAACCATCAGATTTGTTGTTCTCGCTTGCTTTGTGAAACATTTTCCCCCTTTTCTTTGTGTTCTAGATTCCATTGTTTATTTTTTCTTATTTTCCTGGTTGTTTAGCTTTGGTCTTCCACATTTCTTTGGTTGGCTCATCATTTTCCAACTCTCTAGATGGCACCTCAATATTTAGTTCTCCATCTTTCTTAGTCCATTAACTATACTTCCAATTTTAAACATCTGTGTCTGTACCTGTCATATGAATTATTTTTGTTTCTTTTTTGACAAAGCAGTATGGGTTTTTGTTCATCAACTTTTCATCTTATGCTGCAATTATTAGTTTATTCTTAATTGTATATATATATATATATACATATTACATACATATATGCTGTATATGTAAATAAAAAATGAAAAGAAAATAATATAAGGAAGTAGAAAGGGACATATTTAAACATAGAAGAGAACCAAAACTTAAAGTCTAAAAGAACAATAGAAAGAATAGTAAATTCCAAAATGTATCTCCTGTATGGTAAGAAGAACCCAAAATTGAGTGGTCAAGTGATAATATTTATTTTTCTGTTATTATTGAAAAGGTCTCATTATTTAGCCATGACAGAAATGTTGATGGTCTCTTCTTATATCCCTGACTGGCCTTGAACTCTATAACAGGTTAGCTTCAAATTCACAGAAAAAAAAAATAGTAACTGTCTGCTTCTGCCTCCTAGACAAGGCTTAGAGAATAATTCTTAAATGTGTTTTCTAGAAAACATTTATAATGTTATTTAAAAAATACATGGCTTGAGGTTTGTTTGTTTCTGTGCTCTCCTTTAGTTGGGTAACAACAGATAAACAGATCTTTCTGTTTTCAGAATTACAAATCAGTAATGTCCTTTTATAGCTCAATAGGTATAGTAATGCAGAACCTGAAATGGAGTACATTGCTGAGCAAGTCTTGTCTGGAGAGGTTGAGAAAGTCATTCAGCACCATCACTATGTCTTCCTATAGCTCTCATTCTTACCATGACCAGTATCAAAATTATGTTTACAGTGCATAATCTCTACTGTGCTGTAAGTAGCCCTGGTTATATGTGTTAGTAGATCTCCCAGTGTACTGAATCAGCTCAGCTTTCAGATATTCAAATAAAAAGCTTTAACACAAAGGTCTGTGAATGCTTAAACAGAGAAATCAAGAACATTGAAATCTGACAGTCTCACTGCAACATCTCTGTACCTTTCACAGAGCTGTAGAGTAAATCTGTTTGTGTATCTTCTGAAACAAAAAAAAAAATTCATGAACTGATTTAAAAATTTCCCTGCTTTCTAGTTGAACAAAAATGAGTAGTTAACATTGAAAAGGCAGATGTAAATGTGGAACCAAGTCTGTCTGTTTATTTGATAGGTCTTTGCTTTGCTGTATTTTTCTTTCTTTGACTGTATTCCACCTAACATTGACTTTGAGATGGTTATATTGATTGTAAGCACATCTGTCATTATAGAAATAGCATATCAAAAGAAGAACCAGATGTTGATGTTCTAGATTTGTATATATCTTTTAAACAGTCAATGTTTCACCTTACGTGGAACAATCAGGAAAAGTGTAACAATCAGTTATACAACCAAAAACATCCCTTTAGTATTTATTTTGTGGAAACATGTTAGTGATACATTTCTACAATTTTTCCATTTTCATACAGTATTGACAAAAGATATTTGAGTCTCATATATTGAAATATTATGAACATTTAAGAGATTGTTGCATCTCATCTTGTCATTTTTTGACTATAATGGAATTTCCTTCCATCCTACCATTAAATAGAACACAATCCATTTGTAGCTCTACCTTAAGAAAATGCACTATTTCTCTTTGTTTTCTGATTTTTCTAAAATGAACAAGTAAATTCCTCGAGTACTTTTATAGCATCTGTTATAGTGATTGTTTTGGCTACCATGATGTTAATGTGTTATAAGGTAAATTCCTCATGTTTAGTGCCAATTAAACCACTGGATCTATCTAGATGCCGATTTGAGTTTACGACAGTCTGTACTGCATTTTCATTCTTGTATTTGACCATTTACTTTTTTTTCTACTTGTTGCTAAATATAATTGTTTCAGTCTTATGCCATGGTGATAGCATATGTGTTCCAGTTTATAGCTGTTGTGTTTAAATATCAAAAAAAAGTGAAAAATATCTTTGTACATTTAAGTCTGGATTATAATAAGCAAAAAGATTGTGTATGTGTATGTTTAATATAACATGACAGGCCTGCCTTTTAAGAAGCAGTTCCATTCCACTTAGGCTTTTTGCTATTTAACTTTTTTTCCAATTGGTTCTATGCGATATATCCCATGTAGAATATTTGTCTTTAAATTCAAGGCCAAAAAAATTCAATGTTTGGGAAACAAGAAAAAAAATGAAAATTAAAAAAATAATGCCAGCTAATTCTGTCCATCACTGTCTGTCAGGTTGTTGCTATATCCCTTCTGTAAATAACTTTTTTGAGGAGGAAATAATATAAGCTGGAACTGAAAAACAATTCTCATATTTAAATAAATAGAATTTAAGATATACCTATATATAAACTCATAGATTTGTGCTATCAATCCAAGTTCTCTTTGAATATGGTTTTTAATAGGTTAGGGAGAAGGCCTTCCCATTGAAACCTGTCCTGAACATGTCCGTGTACATACTCATTCATGTTTTATCTCTAATTATTAATGTTGCGTGCATTTTGAAGAAGATATTTTGCCTTGATGTTTTGAGTTTCTTTAATACATAAAATATTAATATCTGAGATTAAATCAATAAAAATTAATTATTCATCTTATTTAACTAAGGTATAGAATGAGTTACCCCAAGCAAGTTTTAAAAATTCTTTACATATTCAAAGCAATGATAAAATATTGAGTGCAATGTTTCATCTGAATTATTTATGACAAGGGTAACTGTCATCAAATATTGACCATACAGTCTATCACACAAAAATTCTAATTTTTTTATCTGGATTTAGAATTTGTAAACTATTCCATGCTTCCAATTCATACATGACTTTTTAATTCTTGAAACTTTTTTTTTACTTCTATGAACAAATATTCAGTGTCTAATTACATCTTCCTGGAGCCACCATATTACAAAGTATAGGCAAATTCTGTGTTTTACCTGATTAACGTTTTGAAGAACACTGCTAACTCTTTGTGGAATAGGCAATGGTTTGAAGTGAGGTATAGACAGATTGTAACCTTGACTGTGTGATATTCTAGCTTTTAGTTCTGGCATTAGGAGCACATTTTCATTACATTCTCCTATATCACATTACTTTGAAGACAGTGGATTTCATGCTTTTTAAATTCCTCTCTTATCAGTACTTGGTAAGAACTAACATTTCATCTTTAAAAGAATGTATCATCCCCCACCTCAAAAAATAAACAAAATCAAAACAAAACAAACTTAGACTGAATTATTAAACAACTTCCCAGATTGACAACATGGCAGGTGCTCAGCCTAAACGTAGATCTATCCTGACTTCGCAGATCACTCTTGCCTTCGATATATGCAAAACATGTGGTTTGGTTATGAATAACCATTGGAATTGTAAATTACTCATTACCCTTCTGCCTAGCATAAGCCATGAACAATTTTATATACATTAAAATTCTATTTCTCAAGTTGATTGCTTTAGTAACTACAATATCAATGTAGTTATTTTAAGCCAATATGTCATCAAATTATAATTTTAGTTATCCTTCTCGGATGTAAAATGTTCTTATCCATTTGTTATTTGAGTTATAATTCCCCATCAATAGAGGAGGTCTTACAATAGCATACTTCTTTTTAAACTTAGTAAGTAGTTTGCTATCCATGGTGCAAGGTGACATTCAGGCATTGAAGTAACTTTGTAGTGTCTGAGTTGCCAGCTTAGAAAGTGATTCATTTAGGGAAGTTTAATTTGGGTATGATTGTGGGAAGTACATGGTGTGGATTTTAAAGGAATGACAGAGAAGTGTTCTTCATCTTTGCAGCACTCATCTCTCAGTGACAGAGTTAGTAGAGAGTTCATGTGTAGGTATGTCCTCTTTTGTTGTATTCACCAAGACGACATTAGGGAAAATACCCTGTGAAGGTCAGACATCTCAATTCCATATGAAGAAAAGGTATTGATACCAAAGAGGAGGAAGGCAGGGACAAGAGTGAGGAAGTGGATGTGGGCCATTCATACTGATTTACTTCCAGTTCATCAAGTAGATGAGAAAGGAGCTTTGTTTTGAAGAAGTAGCATTCTTGAATGTCATGTCTTCCAAAAAAGAAGTACAGAAATATTAACAGAGCAATGCTATTTTGTCCAAATTTTATATAAGAAAAATGCCACATTTTGCATATTTTCATACTTTTATGTTCTTATTTATGTAAATATTGAATTTATTACTTTTTGTAATTTCATATTGAGTACACTTGAAACTGGATAACCTGTGTGTGGGTCTTAGTCCTCAAGAAAACTGTCTTTGACTTCTCAGCAGCCTTTGACTTCTATAATTAGTCATCTAGTGGTGAGATCTTAGGAAATTTCATCAACACAATTGGCATGTCAACTGGTATTGTCATTATGTAGTTCTTGTTCAAGCAACCATGTTGTTGGGATGTCATCAAGTTTGTAGGGTTCCTGTCAAGTCTTGTAGACACTACCTAATAGTGAATATCCTGATCCTCTGGCTCTTACAATCTTTATATTCTTCTGCAGTGATCCTGAATCAGTTACAAGGCTGTGTTGTAGATGTACCAACTAGGGTAGTGTATACTCTCTGCATTTTGACCATCTATGGAGCTCTGCAATAGCCACTGTCTGCTACAAAAAGAAGCTTGGCTTTTGAGGAGTGAGAGTTATAGTTATATTTGTACATAAACATAAGTATTTATATTACAGTTAAATATTATTTTGATTTAGGGAAAGAAGGAATAGTAGGTTCTCCTCTAGGGTCTATGACCACTCCAGCCATAGGAAGTTGGCTTGATTTATAGTATCTATCATGAATTTTCAAGTACTGGGTAGTTTTTTAGTCCAATTAGAGATTTGTTGGCTGCCTTAAGATGTATATGCCACTATTATACCACTATAGATATTTTGCTAATGGAGTCATTGTAAATATAAACAATGTGTTAAAAATTGTGAGGTCTTACTTACTGAAGAAAAATTCAATTCAATATTCCTAACAATAAGCATTATAGTTTTGCATTATTCAGTATTGACAATTCTGGGTTATATAACAACTGAGCATAAAATATTCAGTGAATGTTTGTTGCCTTAAATAGTTATAAAATATGAAGGAAAAGTACTTTTAAACAATGTTAAATCAGGCAAAAATTCTAAAGCCTTCTTATAGTATGTAATAGAAAAAGTAACTATAAATCCCATTGTGAAACAGATCATGACACACATTTATAGAAGTTTCAAAACATTCAGACATCTTAATCCCTCTATCATTATTCTCTTGCTTTCTTTACTAGGTGGTATTTTTGAATATGTGGAGTCTGGCCCAATGGGAGCTGAAGAACTTGCATTCAGATTTGCTGTGAACACAATCAACAGGAACAGAACTCTGCTGCCCAATACCACTTTAACTTATGATACCCAGAAGATCAACCTCTATGACAGCTTTGAAGCATCTAAGAAAGGTAATTAATTACTATATATACTATGGTTTCTAGAAGGCAGATTTCTAGATATGCTTCAGAAAGTTCTTAATTCCCTTCAGTAGTTAATAAATTATTAAGAACATTTATATGGAAGGATTTATCTTTCATATCTGTATGTATTTTATTAGAGAAATATTGATGGAGTTAGCTTTTATAAAATAAATATAGAAAGAAAAACACTTATAAGTGAAATTAAATTTGTGATCTCCATTCATTGTTATTAAAGTTTTTAAAAACTTACTAAAATAAATGATAAAAGATATCTTCCAGGGGACCCAGGTTAAAATATCAGCACCGAAATGGCAATGAACGATTATTTGTAAGTCTAGGTCCAGAGGACCTAACTCCTTGTTCGGGCTTCTCATGATACTGCAAGCAAATGTTATCCAGCTTTACATGTGGAAGAAAGACAATATAAATTAAATAAAATCACTAAAGCAATTTTTAAAAAGGAACCACTAACAAGGCATATATTATGCAAACAGCAGTATCAGTAGTGAGTTTGTTTCATGGGTACATATTTACAAATTGTCACATAGATGATCTTTTCTTATACATATAGATGATATTATAGGATGGCAGGCCCTATGTTTGGCACAATTATAATTTATGTAACAGACATTGTTAGAGTGGACCAACATAATGTTTGTTGTCAACATATACTTTAAAACAATGTTTACCTTTCTATAATGCTCATATTCTTTTACTAGCTACCTTACATTGATAGAAACATAAAATTATTTGTAATTCTAATGTGATGAAATGTTTTTCCAAGCTTATTAATATTAATGACAGTTGATAAGACACAGTGGTGCTCAAGATGAAAGTCTCTTTCTTTTCCCCAGATACTAACTTGTGTTTTTTAAAGCCATATTCTGTTTGCCCTTTGCATTTATATCTTTGTGAATACAAATTAGTTTCCACATTTCAGATCCATGTCATGGTGATAAAAGGTTTAAAAGACTGGAGGGAAAAGGTTAGGCTTGACTGTAAAATGTTCTGTTTGTCACGACAAATGCAAATTAAGTCATTAATTGCAAGAAAAGTATATTTTATTAGTAGTATTGCCCATGATTATTTTCATTATGGAAGGAGAAACTCTGATATTAAAGAAAGCATTCAGACTGAATACTGAATCATCTGGAGTAAGGAAAATGTAGATAAAACATTAGTAGATTTCTTAATAGTAACCTCAAAGGATCAGTGTAAAAATGTAGACTCAAATTTTCCCCACAATAATCAATGTACTACTGGGGAATGTTTGAGCCCAATTCTTAATTGATGAAGTCACTTGGTTTATAAAATGTTATATTTAACAGATTAAACTTCTATTCATGCCCATTTGAAATCTGGCATAGAGCTAGGGAAGCTCAAATTAGTAACTTGCTTTACCAGATTTAAAAGGGTGAATGATCCTTTGCATTTCATTTATTGAACTATTATAGCTTAGATTATAAAGAAATATGTAAAGGAAGAGAGATCCAAAATGGATTTTGAATCTTATAGCATCTCTACAATGTATATGATTATACAGTGCCAATTAATTTTAAAAGAGTAATCAGTTGGAGACATTGAAAAGTATAATCATTTTGTCTGTAAATAAACTAGATGTTAAATAATGGGACTTTTTCTGATGCTCCATTTCTTATATATCTCATAGATTATACTACTTTGCTTCATCAATGGATAATTTGATGTTTTATAATTGAATTATTACTTGATTCATACAATATTTTTAGCTTCTTTTAACTAGGTATGTGGTAGGTACAGTTTTACTATTCTTCCTAACTCCTCTGGGGTTCAGAGTCTGGAGAATGACATCAGTACAGTCAGCAAAGGAAAACTTGTTCTCAAAACATAAATAGGTCAAGTAGTGGTGGCACTCCCCTTTGGGAGGCAGAGGCAGGCAGATCTCTGTGAGTTTGGGACCAGCCTGGTCTACAATAGCTAGTTCAAGGATGGGCTCCAAAGTGACACAGGGAAACCCTGCCTCAAAAAAAAAAAAAAAAATACTAAGTAAAAAGCGATAATAACAAAGACTCTAGTGTTTTTAAAAACATGGGATGATTCCAGCTTTTCTTGGGTTTTGATCTCAAAATACAGGACTTAAAATACAATTTTGAGTGTGAATTCAGAATTCATCTTTCACTGATTTAGAGTTCTTGTCAATATTTGGAAAATAGTAATCAGTATGTTCAAAATCAATTCATTTATATTATATCAAATTCTCAAAGAAAACATAAGTAAGAGGTTTTTACAACTATTTTTTACCTAATTTTAAATGTGTCTGTGCTTAGGAGTTCATTTATCACACATTTTATGCTGAAATTATTCCTTTTACTTTTTTTTCTTTTGCCATTCTCCCTTGACATTATTTATAGAATTATTTGAAGTTTAGTCCTCATGACCAAACTTTCTTTTAATAATCTGAAAATGTTCAGTTACAAGTTTATGAGTTCTCAGCCCTAGACAATGACAATAAGTATTGTCAACTGAGGAAAGCTGAGAACAGGAGAAACATTCTTCCCTGGAGACTACACACCAACTGGCTATCCAAGAAAACATACATAAAAGTAATATTATATAGATCGGGCCAGTTTTATTTATGTATTCTGACACACACACACACACACACACACACACACACACACACACACACACAAATTAAAGTAAAAGGGGCCACAAATCTGAAAGAAAAGGAGAGGAGGGGAACATGGCAAAAGATTTGGAGAGAGGAAAGGGAAGGTAGGGATGATGTCATTATAATATGTAATATGTATAATATATAGAATATGTATATATACATCATTTTAATATGTATATATGTACACATGTATGTGTGAAATTAATGAAATACAGATTTACAGATCTTTACTAGGAAGGAATTTGGGAGATTTGATAGCAGTTTACACCTTCTTTCCCTCTCCTTGGTAATGGATTCCTTTCTCCTCCAGCTTGTGATCAGCTATCACTTGGGGTGGCTGCTATCTTCGGGCCTTCACACAGCTCATCAGCAAATGCGGTGCAGTCCATCTGCAATGCCCTGGGAGTCCCTCACATACAGACCCGCTGGAAGCACCAAGTTTCAGACAACAAGGATTCCTTCTATGTCAGTCTCTACCCAGACTTCTCTTCCCTTAGCCGTGCCATCTTGGATTTGGTGCAGTTTTTCAAGTGGAAAACCGTCACAGTCGTGTATGACGACAGCACTGGTAAGAGCAGGGTCCTCCATGGTTATATTGCACACATTGTTTTCTGGAGTGCATCCCACGTTGTTTCTGTTCTTTTGTGTTTACTTTTATTAGTTTAATTTTGTTGTTGTCTTTTAATTTAGTATTATTATTATCGTCGTTATTGTTGTTATTGTGCTTATATGGAAGAACTAAAAGATATCTGGAATCAAATATCAACACTTATTCCAGAAAAAGAATTTCCAGAGAAAGAATTTTCTTTCTATTTATACAATAAGTGTAAGGAGTTTGAACCATATATTGAAAACTAAGTTATGATGATTATCATGGTATTATTTAAATTAAATTAAATATAACATTTAATGGATTTTAGTAGTTTCAACAGGATAGTTTCATGATACTGTCATGTTATGTACAAATGAAGTACATAGGGAGTAATAAAATCCACATCTTTAAGTAAGTAGTATGCCAAAATTTAAACTTTTGACAATATAAAATGTTGAACAAATGATAGCATTGAAAAATAAAGATTTTTAGGACTGCCTTTGTGTAGACACAATTAGAAACTTAGAAAATAAAATTACAAATAGAATTTAATGAAATACTATCTATGCCACTGTCTGAGAATATTTTAATAAATGTCTCCACAGTGCTCTTCTGTGTTACATTGTTTTAATGACTATTAACAATGGCTTGTTGTTATTTTGAACTATTTAATTTTTTTCACAAAATATAAGAAAGTGAACAGTAAAATGAAACATGTAGTTTTCTGCTGACAGTTATTTTGCAAAGTAAGTGTTATGTTTATCATGATAATTGATTTCATTTCAGGATATTTTTCAGTATTCTAAATACTGCTTTAAATTAGAATGCAAAACATTTTATTTTAGGCCTTTTCACTATGCCTTCAAATTTACATTGAGATTGAAATTCATTTAAATTTAAATTTTCCCCAAAAATGGCAGGAACATGCTTTGTTCCCACTTGCTTTGTATGCTTGCCATGAATAAAACTTTGTGTAGAAATTTATCCACTTTATAATGAAATTATCAATGCAAATGAACAGATAGAAACTCTATTAAGAGAACAAAGAGATCCTAAGTTGAAAAAAATAGTGAAAATACTTTTAAATATATCTTCACTGACTTATTTATATTGTTGAAAAATATAAAATATTTCATTAATTTTAGCTCAACATTTATCAATAAAATCTTTAAAATGCAAAAGTAGTTTTACAGGATCGTTTAAGCTTATTGTGGTTTTTTTTTCCCCCAAATCATTTCCTTCATATGATTGGTTAAACTCTCCTAGAAGTCTATATATTAATAACTCTCCTGGGTTTGCATTGATGAGGAATGCCAGGGGAATCTTCAGATACAAATTAGTTCACTCATGTTTAAGTCCATAAATAGTTATATGCACATGTATAGAAAGTGAATGATGTTATTTCTATATTTTCTCTTGATAACTTTGAGTATACGTTTCCTAAATTGCATGCATACTTAAGTTTAGATATATAAACATTTACATATATATGGATTTATATTTGCATGCTCTACTTTGTATTAATTACTTTCATATTGTTTGTGATTAGAAAGGAATTGGAAAAATATTACAGTGTGAATATACATGTTTCTTCACTTATGTGTAAATGTTCCACTTGAGGGATGAACAAAGAAATAATAGAATTTGTAATAAGTTAATATCCATAATTGGTAAAGATTCATGAGGAATTAGTGTTCTAACCTATAAATAATTTTCTGAAAATTTCCAACTCCAGTATAAATTTAAACAAACAAATACATATAGTCAATTACATTTACAAAGTTGCAAAGAACTTGACCTCAAATTATGTTTATTAAAATAACATTTTAAATTCCTGTCTTAAGCTTTTCATCTAGGCATGATACTGTCATTTGGTACAATGCAATCATGTGTATGGGTAATACTACCACTAGTTTGAGGTTAGTCTGTGCTACATAGCAAATTCAAGGATAGCCTTTAATAAAGAGTAAAATCTTGTCTCAAACTTTACCATTCTCCACTAAAAGAACATGCTTCATCACCTAGTTATCATGAAAGTTTCATAGGTATTTCAGAAGCATTTGCTTTAATAAATAACATATAAATTTATAGAGTAAGTTTGTCTTCAAAGCTGCAAGATAAAATATTATGGATTTTCTATTATATGCAAAATTTATTTGAACACATATTGGTTAGGCACCTGTTGCTTAACAATGGAAATTATGAGTGTGATTCTATGCTAGTCGACAGGATAAAGATTCTACCCTCTTTCTCCTATGTTACTTTATAAACATTTGTTTATTCAAATTTTTGTATTATTTTTAATTAGCTAATTACATTGGTAACAGTTATTTTTACCTTTTTGAAGTTTATGTTTTTCCTTTTGAAGAACTTTGTTTCATTGTTTTACATACTATAAATGATTTATGGGTAAACAGTAAAATCTTTCTGAAACGCCTTCCTTAAGTATATATAATGTTGTTGCATATAATTTGATGCTGCAAATTACTACTTATAGAAATGAAAAAAATTAAACTGTCATAATAGAGTAGAATACAATTTGAAGTAGTGGAAGAAATGCAATTATAATCAGACTGTTGACCGAAAGTGGCCTTTATAATCATACTCGTCAGAATAAATAATATTGACATTATTGTGGATTGATGTATCAATTACTTACTGAAGGATAGACATGTGCTGCTTTTATTTATATGTGCCCTTTTCTAGGACTATTTATTGCATATGCTGTCTGGTATGCTTCGATTTCCTAGTTTTTGGATGTCCACCACCAATGTAATAAGCCAATAAAACCAAATTAATAAATCCAGGTTTAATAAACAAAGCAAAGTAATCCTGGGTGACCATCAGGAGGGTGGGAGAGGAATCGTATAATTTGGCCAGGTCTTATGTAGCCTATAGGTGTGGTCCTGAGCAGCAATGAGGAGGATCTAACTCTTGCCAGGCTTTCTGAGGGGTCAGAGTCTTGGGGAGGCAGGGGAGGCTTCTACCTAATTACCCCCAACTCTTTGAAAATATGGGTTGAGCATCCGTCAGAAGTGTAAAAGGACTTTCTTAACTCACCTGGTCCCTCATCTATTGAGCCCCAAATAAGCACACAGAGTCTTTTATTGATTATAAACTGTTTGGCCAATGGCTCAGTCTCCTTTTTGGCTAACTCTCTTAATTCTCCTAGTCTCCTAGCCCAGCCTATACTTCCTGACTAGATACTGGTTAATAGGTGTTTTAGTCATCAACCAATAAGAAGTACATGTAAACAGAAGGACATCCCCCATCATCCCAGCCTCGTTGGGTATATGGATGCCAGGAGATTGGGTGGGGCATCTACGATAACACTATCACCTTTTTATATTCATTTCTACTTTATTGTATCATCCAGCAAATACCTGATAATTTTATCCAGTTCTTGCCCCCATATGCCAAACAGCTAGATGGTAGATTAAATGTATTTCTGGACTAGGAGAACTTCCTAAAATGATGTTAGCAGGGACTATTTATTTTTTATGATAATTAGCACTTGTTGTCTTGGATGAATGCTTTTAAACACCATGAAAGTCTGTTATAGCTCTGAATTGTGTCCAAAAATGATGGAAATGAATTGGCTTTAGAAACAAAGCTGTGTTTCTGTCAGTCATTTTTGGAACATATGATTCATTTTAAATATAAACTAAAAAAGAAATTGGATAGCTGTCAGCTTGTAAGCAATTCCAGGATAAGTTGTGAATATTTGCTTTAAAATTCCTATGTTTCATCTTTGTTTATAGATCAGCAGTCCATTAACAAAAACTCTGGGCTGGTAAGCAGAAGCCTAGGATTCTATCCCAGGCTTGCTGCTAAATTACTGGAAAACATTGGGAAAAAAAGTAAGAGGCTAGAAATGACTACAGATGAGCTATCATGCATTTGATATTATGTAAATTCTGTCATAAATTATTTTCCTCAGTCTTCAAAAACAATTCTCTGAGTCCCAAAGGAAACAGGTTATCATTTCATCTGGCCAACTTCCTAGCTGGGCCTCCTGTCTAGCAGCAGCCTTACAAACAAATATCTCCCTCAAACCTTCCTTAACTTGGGGCCCACAATCAAGTTCCAGTTGCCATTTCTGGACTGCTCTTATCTCTCTAATCTACCGTCTTGCATGTTGTGCTACTTTTAGGTCAAAAGAGACATCATCTTTCCTAGTGTTTGTTACTAATCTTAGGTGGACTAATTGAATTACCCATTTCAGTTTCAATCTAATCCCATTTTTGTTGATAATTTAGTCTCAACACTTCACTTACAGTATTTTTAATAATGAAATTCTGGTTGATTCCATCCTTACCCTTACTAACTTTTTGGCTCTAAAATGCAGCCAAAACTTTTAAGGAAGTTCTGTAGGTAATCTGAGTTCTCTCCTGACATTAGAATTTGAATACTCCAACTTCTGTCAGTTGACAATGGAACCAGTAAACTTCTTTCAGCTTCTAAACACTTTATTCTGTTCATATGGAAAGCACTAAGTCCAGCCAACTCCTGACCATGGGTTCACATACCTGGGTATGCACATTTTTCAGTCTGACAATCTGGCTTTATTGCCCTCAAAGAAAGGTCCCTCTTTTGATGCCACTGAGAAATGGAGCTAAAGCACATGAATCTATGAACAGAGGCTAGTGTGGGTGCTATGATCTTTGGAGTCATAAAATTCTACATTTAGATAATGGTAAGTGACTTGCTCTCAAAAATCATCTATGGATTTCTAAGTTGAAGATCATGTGTACTCCATAGGGGTGTTGACACAATTCATGAATATGTAATAGCCTCACTGAGCACACATGGTAGATACTATAAACATGTACTAACTGAGAAGCTTTGTGTTACTGTGTGAAGAAGAAAATGTTACTGCTACCATTTTTCTATAGGAAGTCTATATTGCAGTAATTTGCCGAGTTACAGAAGAATATAGATCTTTGTTTTAGACCTAATCAGTCAATTCCAGAACTCAGAGCCTACTCTGTTGAAAA